TGCTTTCATAGGAAGGAAGGGCCAAACTAGGTAAACAGGTAAACAGGGCTATAGACCACTACAGGGTGAAGTTGCCCAGAGTGCAGCTAATTAACAAAAGAAAGGTACCTTGTTGATCCTGAGGTAGCATGCTCTGTCTTTCTTGTTCCCTAGGCTAGTTCAGGTAAACAGAGGTGGGGCTTCAGGTCTGCTGTAAACAGCCTTCCAAGGCCAGGATTTTGTTTTGTATTAACCCAAACCCCTAACACCACATATCTTCAAAACCCCCTTTCCCTTATGCCCATGAGTTAATAATGTTCATGATTTCACTGTCTCTTTGTGCACACTCATCACCACATTTGTAAGCCTTCTGATCCTAATAAAAATGGAGCAAGGACCCTTACTCAGGCTCTTGTCTTCTCCAGGACATTAGCCTCTCTTGCATTTAATCCTGCATCCTGCTTTCTTGCTGGACAAGAAAGAACTCCAGACCCAGAGTCTAAGACACGGCTTATGTTTAGTATTACTGTAAACATAGTATAAAGAATTTTGTATTCTCTTTTCACTTAACATTATTTCATAAATATTTTATCTTGTTTTACAATTTTAATGACATTAGAGTATCTCATCATAATAATTTACTAAATTATTACTGGTCATTTAGGTTGTTTCTAATTTTTTTCTATTATAAATAATGCTGAGATAAAGGATATCTTTGTGCAGATCACTTTCTCAGTTTCTAGACTTTAAGAACAGATTTTTAGAAATGGCATTACTAGGTTAGAGAATGTGAATTTATTGTGGCTTTAATACATACTATCAAAGAGTTGTCCAAAATGGTTGTGCCAATTTACAATCCCACCAGTTATATACAAAAGTATTAATTTTATGATATCCTTTTCAAGTTATATTCATTTAATAAAGGGAGGGGAATAATCATTTATATTTAATTTCGATTCTTGAATTTATCATTTTCATGTGTGCTTCTTATTCTTAGGAAGCTTTGTCACTGGTTGTGAATTGTTTGTTCATATCCTTCATCCATTTATCTGTTTCTGATGTGATGCTTTACTTATAAATTTCTATGATGATATGTTTAGATAGCAAAGATATTCAATTTGCTATAGATTACTTTCACTGTTGCCCTTTGCATAGTCATTTCCTTTGGTACTATTCTTTATTCTGAAGCTCGGTTTTGGGGTAGGAAAGAAATCAGTTGATTTATAATACAGTTTAAATATTCTATTGACTTCCACTAATACACTACTACTCTATGAAGCAGAATACAAAATTCCAGATTTCTTTTCCCTGTTAGGCTTTTTTTCAGGAATATAAGAAATTCATTGAGGCATGCCTGGCTTGCTCAGTCAGTAGAGCATGCAACTCTTGATTCCATGGTTGTAAATTCAAGCCCCACATTGGGTGTAGAGATTGCTTAAAAATAAAATCTTAAAAAAAAATCATTGAGTACTATATTAACTTACAGGAAAATAACAACTCTATGAAACCACAGACCTTGGGCAGGCTGCTAAATTGTTTCTATAAAGGTACTTGTGTTGTTTTGGAGTTACCATCCTGTGTGATTAAAAGGCAAACGTTTCAACACAACCATGAAATGTGCCAAGTCAGACTTTTTAAAAATTGACAGGACACCAAGAATTCAAAGGAAGGAACCACTTGAGAAGATGGTTAAGGGTGTCTCTTGAACAAGTGAAATGAAGTTCTTTTTGAAATATTTCAATAGAACATTAAAGGAAAGCAACTGGGTTCTATTTTATCAAGGAGCATTTTTCAATCAAAACAATTTTTGCTTCATGAAGAGGTATGGGGGAAAGATTAACTTGAATATTCCATCCATATTTTCTAGGTGCCTCACAACTGATGAAACAATCTAATGAAGAGTAATGGGGATTTAAATTGATTTTTAACTAATCCTCTTATTTCTTGGAAGTAATGAATAGATTTTTTATAGATGAATTCATCTATAAATGCTTTATTATTATTATTTTTAATTTTTTAATGTTTTATTTATTTTTGAGAAACAGAGAGAGACAGACTGTGAGCAGGAGAGGGGCAGAGAGAGAGACACACACAGAATCCAAAGCAGGCTTCAGGCTCTGAGCTGTCAGCACAGAGCCTGATGCAGGGCTTGAACCCACGAACTGTGAGATCATGACCTGAGCCGAAGTCAGAGGCTCAACCGACTGAGCCATGCAGGCACCCCTGCTATAAATGCTTTTATTGGCAGTTAGCTTTTCCTTGGTAGAAGCCTTTAAAAATTGTCTTCCCCAAGAGTGCTATGATGAAAGTTGATAGGGAAGGATAATATAGAAGAGGACTTTTTAACCATAAATTATGGCATGAAAGGTCAAATTAAAATAACATGTTATCAGTTGGGGTGGGAATTTCACAGCTGAGGAATTGGAATCTGCTCTTACATTTTGATTGATCTTCCATGTCATCACTGCTCATACTTTACCTCTTTGTCTCTGTGCCAAGTTCTGGATCGGTTCATCAGTGCAATCTTCTAATTCACTAATTTTCTCTCAAAATGACTCAATCAAGAGTTTATCCAATCTATTGAGATTTTCATTGTCTGTTTCATACTTTTCCATTTCAGTGGGGTTCCTCTTCCTCTTAAGGCTGACCCTTCATTTGGGCTCAGCAACCAGTCCCTTCTCCCATCCCCCTCCTTTAGTAGTTTATTGAGATATAATTCACATTCGCACACATTTCACCTAAAGTGTACAGTTTAATGGGTTTTTGTATATTCATAGTTGTGCCACCATCACTACAACCTGTTGTAGAACATTTTCATCATTAAAAAAAGAACGTTTTCATCACTGAAAAAGAAACTACATTAAAAAGAAAAGAGAAGAAACTCCATCCCCTTTAGCAATCATCCCTGTCCCTCACTGACTCCAGCCACTGGCAACCACTAATATACTTTCTGTGTCTATATATTTGACTATTCTGGACATTTCATAAAAATGGTCTATACAACAAAACATTGTGGTCTGTGATTGCCTTCTTTCACTTAGCATAGTGTTTCTGAGGTGGATTATGCATTCATTTTTATTGCTAAGTTACATCCCATTAGTATGGATACATTACATTTTACTTTTCCATTCATTGGCTAATGGACATTTGGATTGTTTCCATTTTTTTTCCATATAAGTAATGCCACTATGAACATTTGTTACAAGGTTTTGTGTGAACTTGATTCTCTTTATATACGTAGGAGTGGAATTGCTGGATCTTACGGCAACTCCGTGTTTAACTTCTTGAGAAACTGTCTAACTTTTTCACAACATGTGCACCATTTTACATTCTCACCAGCAATTTATGAAGGTTCCAATTTCTCCACATCCTGGCTTTGTAACCTTGGATGTGAAATTTAACTTTTCTGTGGAGTTAAATAATATAAAATCACCTTCCCTATAGTTATTGTTGAAAGGATGAAATGATTCAAAATAGTGATTGAACCCCTGCACAGCACACAGTAAGGGCTATGTAATTTTGAAGGGGAGAGGGGAGTGTTGGTATGGACTAAAGTGGAGATATGTCAATTCATTATGAGTCAAATTGCTTCCACCCCACTCCATCCTTCAGTGTAGCCTCACCTAACTATGGCCTCCCATATTGCAAGTATTATCCAAACCAGGATAATTGTCCATGGACAATTTCTTCCATGTTGCAGAAGTAAACAAAGTCTCTGCTCTTCTAGAATTTACATTTTAGTGGGGAGAGATAATCAATAAATCAATGTATAACTTCAAGCGGTGTTCACTGAAGCCATGTCAATGCAATAACCTTTACTCTGAATTCACTGTGGTCTCCAGCTAAGAATACACTTGGCAGGGTTGGGGGAGGCCTTTCTCTTCCCTAAAAGGGAGTGTACTTTCCCAACAGTTGAACCATGTATTTTTTTTTTAAAGTAAAATCCTTAAGTCTCACACAAATACAAAATAAACAAGTGGCAAAGATTTTATTTATTCAATGAGGAAACCAGTTAACATGATAGTACCAGTTTAAAGGAGAATTTAAAGTACTCACTTATATTGTTGAATTGTGAATGGGAGATGAATTTACAAATAGATGCAAAATGGCTTTCTCCCAGGAGCGTTAAGATTCATTGTCAAGTTCAATGGACAGGAGTATTTCCTTTTGCTATTAGCTATCTACAATAGAGAGTTGTACAGAGTTCCGCAAAGAAAGATGGAAAGCCCACATAGAATCAGGGTACCCAGAAAGGTGTGTCAGACTATGGCTGGTTTTTCACTTTAGGAACCCAGGAATCTCTTGGTCCATTTCAACGTGTTTCACAATTTTTCCCAATAAAAATCACTTATCTGTAAAGACCCAGAAACTAAACAGTTCTTCTACTTTATCTTTTTATTTTTCTCAATCCTCTTGCTTCTTAGTTGCTTAAGAGTTAGGTGGTCTTTTCTTTGCTCCCAAAAAGAAGTCTTCAAAGTGAGGGAGTGTGGAAACCTAAAACTGTACTCTTCCAAGAAGTCCCCAATTCCCACCCCTGCATCGAGGAAGGCTCCAGAACGGGGATTAGCCCCACCCCTTTCCCAGTGGCACCGCCCCCGGTCAGCCAAATAATCAAGCTGCGCGCAAAGGTCACGTGAGCAGCCTCGGTCCCGTGACGCCTCCGTTCGTGGCGGAGACACAGGAAAGTCCTTCGTGCCCGCTTTCTCCCACCAACCCATCTTGTCTCTGCTTCTCCCCATTAAATGCTTCTTTTATTGTCGCTCTCGTCTCGGGTATGGTAAACCACCAACCTCTCCCGAGCTATTCTAGGCCTACGAGCCAGTTCCGGCCCTCTAGTAAGAGGCGGGGATTCATTAGCGCTAAGGCGAGTCGCACTTCTGATTGGGCGTGACGTCTTGTCAGTCTCCATGTTTGTCCAATCAGAGGCCGAGTCCACCCAGCTTTCCGCTCTTCCATTGGCCTGTGTGCGGGGAAGGTGGAGGAAGAGGGGTAAACCGAGGTCGCGCGAGAGCGGCACTCGGCACTTAGTGCGCAGGTGCGAAGGAGCTGACTGGGGCCCGGGCCAGGGGAGGGCTTGAAGACGCGTCGTTTGGATTTGGAGACTGTGGCAAAGCTATCTGGGTTCGACCTCTGGGCGAAAAGCGTTTGTCAGGGGCCCATCCTAGAACGAAGCCTGAGAGATTCCCGATGGTGTCCATGACTTTCAAGCGGAGCCGCAGTGACCGGTTCTACAGCACCCGTTGCTGCGGTTGTTGCCATGTCCGCACCGGGACGATCATCCTGGGGACCTGGTATATGGTAAGGGCGGGCGGGGCGGGAGGATTGGGGCCCTGGGGGAATGCGCATGAGCGGGAAGTGGGGGAGCCGGGTCTGAAATGTAGGGAGTGTTCACTGGGAGGGGGTGGGACTGAAAGGGGGTGTTGGGTGGGGCGAGAAGGCATAGGGGAGACTCTTTTTAGGGTGTTGTAAATTTGAGAGAGGAGACTGTGGCCTTGAATCAGCGTGGGGTGGGTAGGAATGGGGAGATTGTTCCTTGGCACAAATTACAGGAGAAAGTCGGGGTGGGGAGAAGCGGAGGAGTTGTGGGCGGGGGGTGGGGAGGATGGAGAGTAGGGGTGGTGGGTAGGAGGGATAATGGTACTAGGATTTGGTAAGGAGTTCTGGAAAGTACCCGGTTTAGGCCCTTTTTGTACTTCCGTGATCAGAAAGAACCCTCTTCCACGTACACTCCCTGGAATTTTGTTCCCTACAAAACAATTAAGAGTGGATCCTGAGAAATGTAGCCCAGTTTCGACATTGTCTTACCGGAAAGGAAAACGAAAGATCCAGCTATAACTCAGTTGCCTGTGGTTCTTGGACCTTATTTTGTTATAATATGTGTGTGTGTGATGTAGGCAGAAAGGCCTCTGTTGTGAATCTGGAGGTTCTCTTAGAGGCAATACCTTTTGCCAGGATTTACACGCGATCTGATTTTTCCTGATTCAACTACCCCTTGCCCATTAGACGCTTTTTATTTCAAACCCATTCCGGTTTTTGAGACCTTTATTGAGAGCCTCCTTTATTCTGGCCACATATGGTAGCATTTCCTGGATTCCAAGATCCATGTAAGTCTGTATCATAAACCAAGTTGACAGTGTTATTGATTGGTGGTTCACCAGTAATACTTTTGTGATTTCTTAACCACCGTCTCCAGTATTCCTACACTTTGAAGGTAATTATGACCCTGTTGGGATAGCTTTAGGCTATAATGACTTCACTGAAGCTTTGACAAACTTCTTATATTGTTGACTTGATTGGCGGTTCTCACCAATGACTGATTTGTTGTTGTTTGAGGTTTTTTTGTTGGTTTGGTTTGGTATGGAGGATTGTGGTATTAGTGATACGGTATTGTTTCAGTTAACTTCTGTGAACTGTAAGAAAAAAAAAAAAAACTTCACACATTCTTTTTTGCCTTTCTGTGTTATCATTACTTCCCTACCCAGTGCCTTGAAATCATTAGTATTTGGACAAACACCAGATGACAATAATCTTAGGTAGATACTGTTTCATGGCCCACCTCCAGGGGACTACCGGACCCTCGCATTATTCCTGACTGCCCTGTTTTTTGTTTGTTTTTTTTACAGTTTTGCTTTATTGATGTACATTTTAAAAAACAAAACTTCGATGTGTAGGCTTATTTGCTAGTTTCTAGGTTTGTTTTAATGTTTCCTATACTTCCATATTCAGAAATCTCATCTTCCTGGCATAAAATTATATCAAATTTCCCCTCAGAAACTCTGTTTTATATTTTAACTGATTTGTAATATTGGACATTAATCAGCTAATGGACGGTAATAGCACTGTATTCCTAACTTCCTTTTATTTATTCTCCATTTTGCCAGGGGTCTGGGTCTTCCATTTCTTTTGTTCTTAGCTCTGCCTTCCATTCCCCTAAATGAATCATACAAGGGTCCTCAAGCCTCTTACTCTACCCTGTCTGCCTTGTCCCTAGAAGATAACCCTCCCTCCTACTAAACTGAGGTGTGTCCACCAGCTGGGACTCTTCCTGAAAACCTAATCGTCCTGTTTCTTCTCAGATCCTTCCCTCCATTCACAGAACAAAGGATTTCTAACTCCTCCTCAAGAAGGAAATAACCACCATCCCAATTTCAACCATCTGAATGTAATTGGCGGTATTTCTTTCCAGTCTTTTCTAGGCAGTTTTTTTTTTTTTTTTTAATGCTATGGGATCAGCTCATAAAAGTGAAAGGAATTGCAGGGGAAAATATGAGTTACAAACAGCAAACCAAAAATGCAGGGAGTAAAACTTTAGTAAGGGTATTTACTCTCCCAAAATAGGGAGTGAGGAGTTTAAATTTACTCCCCACTGGAGGCACTTGATGTGAAAACATTTTACATCTCCTTATTTTCCATGCTTTAGTTGTCACAATTTTAGAAGGATGCCATAGCTGTTTTTCATTGCATGGGCTTTTAGGTTAATAGAACATTATAAGCTTCTAAAATCAATTAATCTGCCTTAAAATAAGGGATTTATTGGTCATCTGCAATGTAGAAGGCTTTGGTAGACACAGAAAGAGAGTAAATCACAGGGACCATATGCCATTGTCTATTCTGTTTCTATTATCTGCCACACAGAGGCACTCAAATGTTCTGTCTTGAAAATTGTATCTGCACTTATTTTATGGTATTACAGAGGTTTTTGGAGCGCATATACAAAAATGAGACTTAACAGTACAGTGACAAAGGAGAGGGGAAGGTGATCGGTAACATCAAATTTTAGTTGGATAAAGGACTGGACAAAGGACATTGGTTTTGTTGGTGACTTTCAAAAGTGTAGCTTCCGTACCATGGCAGTATTAAAAAACACAATTTCTGTCTAGTTGGGAAGGTGTGTAACCTTTTAGAAAACAAGACCACCCAGGTAAAGTATAGGGTAATATCTCTAAACAAAAAGGACTTGTCCAAACAGTGCATTTTGTTGCTAGAAGCTTCTTTACTAAAATAGAAGTAATATGGGATTGAGTGAGGTAGAACGTCCCTTCCTCCTCCAGTACCTTGTCAGGATACTCCCTTCCTAAGTTTCAGGTGGGAGAATATCTATGATGATGGCCTCTGTGCTGTTTGGAATTCGGGGGTAGGGGGTGCAGTTCTCTCCCTCCTGCTGGGCCTAGAGGCTGTATCAGTGAATGTATCGGATACAGTGTCATTGCTTTCCGGCAACTGGTCTGGTGTTCAGGCCGTTCCAACACGGTGTACTAAAGTATTAATTCTATGGTATTAAATAGGACATAGAGAAGTCAGAGCCAGTTCTGTGCACCAGAGGTACCAGCCCTGAAGTGTTAGCTTTTGGCATTTTAGATTTGAAAGAAGCATGGGTGGCCTAATCCCTGGTCAAGTAATACAAAGTTTCAGAATGAGCTCTAGTTTAAATTCTGGCATTCCTAAAATTGTTTTCTGTTATTTATTGAAGAATCTGAAGCCAGATGATTTCAAACCGATTTGTTACATAGAAGTTCAAATGTTCATTGAATAATTGAAAATAGTCTTGATGAGTAGGTGTCCTCCTTCATGGTTGATGGTGTGTTACAAGAATACATTTTGAGGGGCCACCTGGGTGGCTCAGTTGGTTAAGCGGCCGACTTAGGCTCAGGTCATGATCTCGCAGTTTGTGAGTTCGAGCCGCCCTGCGTCGGGCTCTGTGCTGACGACTCAGAGCCTGGAGCCTTCTTCGGATTCTGTGTCTCCCCCTCTCTCTGCCCCTCCCCTGCTCATGCTCTGTGTCTGTCTGTCTCTCAATAATAAATAAACGTTAAATAAAAAGAATACATTTTGAGCATTTGTAATAATTTTGTTTTGGAAAGATTTAATATATTGCTAATTTTTCATGAATGTCTCAGCCATAAATAATCTAAAGCTAGGTGACTGGGAGAGAGGTGAAGACAGGTGTCCTCAAACTGTATTCTTTTCCAACCCTCACCCCTGACTCCTTTAAATAAGAGTATAACCTATTTATATTTTGAAGTTAATATCTTTCCTCAAACACACTTTTTTTGTGCCTCGGTACTTTGACATGTGCTTTTTTTTTCTCCCCCCAAGTCACATTTTAAAAACAATATATTAAGGAAAATTTCAAATCTAAAGAATAATGAGATAGTATTAACATCTCCCATTTACTCATCACCCAGCTTCCACTGTTAATAGCATTTTGCCAGTTCCATTTCATTTTTTAATGGTTAGCCCAGCTGTTTTCTTGGTGAAGCTTTTCTTATTTCTCAGCCAGAGGGATCTGGTTTCCTCACTGTGTATCTGGAAAAGTTTCTTTATACTATTTGTATGTACTTATTAAATACTACTTATTACATGATTACTAATGATTATCTTTTCATTTTTCTCCCCCACAAGATGTTCTTGAGGGAGAAAGATGATAGGTCTTTCTCTATAAAGGTGTATAGCAGTTAGCTTGTTAATTAGAACATTTGAAGTATTCATTAGACATTTGTTAAATTAATTGCCACCTCTTAAATATAGTAGGAATAACTCATTTGTACTGCACATTTGTAACTACCAGTAAACAACAGGAGGCTTATATATATGTGAAACATGTAACAGAATTTTTGGAGGTTGGCCATTTTGATCTTTATCAGCTGGCAGTGCTTTGCTGACTGGCTCCCAGTGGAGACTCTCTCTGCCTGTGAGACCCTTATCAGGATGGCCTGAAGCACACACTTTGTTTTATAGTCTCAGCAGATACTGGGTGGTGGCAGAATGTGCTTTGCAAACCTAAAGAATAATGATTTAAAACAAAAACCAGCCCCCAAAGAATCATCTGGGATGGGTGTGGCAGCAAGAGGAGAAAGCAAAGAGGAATTCCTCTTCTGAGGCCCAGGGCTTCCGTGGGCCTGGGCCTGGTAGCCTGGTAACCGTATCTCTGTAACAAGTAAAATCCAACACATCTGGCTTTTGTTAATTCTTTGTTTACTTATACAAGGTGTGCAGAAGGCTTGCAAAAACCATGTAAACCACATAATTTAACCTAATAAATGCACAGGACTGCTTCTACATTGAATGGTATGTTTGTAGCTCGTGCTGTTAACATGTTTGCTGTCTTCTGTACCTCCATATTATGAGGTTTAGAAATTAATCATTATTTAAATTACATTTTTGGTTTTTTTCCTGAATATCGTAAAAGGAAAAAATTGGGAATAAATATTAAGAAATTGTACATACTTGCTATTATTCAGAGAAATTTTATACCAAATTTTATATTGCAAAACTGTAAAGTCAATTTTATATATTTTTTTTAAAATGCTACAGTTCGAGGGACTGTAATTAAATAGCACAGGGCCTAAATATGAGCACAGGGTGGGTGCTCAGTGGTAAGTCTTTTAAGATCACAAGGATGGATTTTCCAGGTTAATATTTAAAATGAAAGTTGAGATTTTAATGAAATATACTGACATAATGGAATATAATTTTTTTTTATTTTTTTAATGTTTATTTTATTTTTGAGAGAGAGAGCGTGAGCAAGCAGGGGAGGGGCAGGGAGAGAGGGAGACAACAGAATCTGAAGCAGGCTCCGAGCTCTGAGCTGTCAGCACAGAGCCTGATGCGGGGCTCGAATCCACGAACCGCGAGATCATGACCTGA